CGCGGTGCGATGTATCAGCTGTGCGCGCCGGAGTGCTGCGCTCGCTCTGTCTGGTACGTTTCACGAGAGAAGCCTGAAGGCAAGGCCGGCCAGACGTGCGAGACCCTGATGGGCGGACCACGACCAGAGAACGAGCCGCTGAGCAGTCTGAGGAAACAGAAGTGCGGGGCGATGCCGAGACCGAGATGGGGCTTTGCAGTGGGAACAGCTGCAGAAACCTTCTTCTGCGGCGAGTTTCGTTCACCGGTACGACCCCGTTGAATTACGTTCTGAACTTCGCAACAACGTGAACCTATATAAGCGGTTCTCTTAGATTTCCGAGAGCCACTGAGCTGCTCGAACGATGGATTTCGGCCCTTTGTGGCAACAGTGAGTGGACTTCATCCAAGTGGAGTTTTGTTCGAATGAAATCTCATGACTTCGACAGTCGAGTCAGGTGTGACCCTCGATGATGAGCGTACCAACCGGGCGGAGGGGGGGGGGGGGGGGGGGGGGGGCGGGCAAGAGGGGCGCTGGCCGCCCCCCCCCCCCCCCCCCAGTTCTCAGAGTAGGGGGGCAAGGCATGTGTTTTGCCCCCTTGAAAAAGCCGCCACTGGGCACGGCAAACACTAGCCGGCGGTGCCACAGGCATACCAAGGGCACCGCCCCGGCCATGGAGGGAGGGGAGGGGTTCTGGTTTGCCCCCCCCCCCCCCCCCCACTCAAAAACAAGTTGGTACGCCACTGCCCTCGATAGCACTTTTGGTGCTGCTTCAACATCATCATCAGCCCGTAGTATAGGCTGCGCTCTGAACTTAAGTAAAGCGAAGCAACTGTTCAAATCTTAATGTTTTATAGGTTAAAGGAGCGATGCAACAATTTTTGTACTTTGCGCAAATACCGCTTAAAACGGATCCCTAACGTTAATGACTTATGAAACACGCGTTCGTTTTTCACCCCACGCAATAGAAGTCCCAGAAAAAAATTAAAGACAAACGAGCAGCGTTCACCCCCTCAACTCGCAGCTAGTACAAGCGGCCACGTGATCTGAAGCCGATTATATGCCGCCAGTGTTGATCATAGCCACGCGCTGGGGTTGGCAAAGCGCAGGACACGCGCTGAGTTCCAGACATTGTTATGGCTCGGCTGTTGTCGTCGTTGCAGCGATTGGACACGGGTCACTACCCGAGGTAGCGATTATCACGAGCCCAAGTCGAGTGCCCACGCAATGCTCGGGACCAATCTATGAACCGCATTCAAACATCGTCACTTGGGTGTACTGCGATCCCCACGGTACGTCACCAAATTTTGCGAAGGAGAGATTGAATGAAAATGATCGCTTTTGTCCTTGAAATTACACCGCAACAAAGGAGTTTCTTGGCCAGTGGCGTTGCGTGCGAGTATCCTTGAGTCCCAGGTGTGCCAGTAAGCTCGTGTCAAGTGAAAAACATTTCAATTGAATATCGTTGCACAGCTCCTTTAAAACAACGAAGGTCATCTGGCACGCCCGAGCGAAAAATCCGCGGGTTCATTTCAAGTTGAGTTGATCTAGCGTTGTTCGCGATTCTCGTTAATAAATCACTCTAGTCAAACTCAACTGCATGAATCAATGTTGGTTGGGATGCATGAACACCCCCAACCGTATATTGTGAACTCAATGGTGCGAACGCTCCACAAAATATTCCACACGGGCGTGCACAATGTATTCGCTGCCAAAATTCGCCAGTATATTGTAATTTCTTTCGATGCGAAAGACAATTCTCAATCTAAATGAAGTTAGGCACATCGTTACAACGCTTTTATCCACCTGTAAGACGGTAATGGAAAGTAAAAAAAAATTGCTTGAGTTTATCGTTACACGACCAAATAAAAGGCAGCAGGCGCAGTCAGCTGCCGCGATCATGAACAGAACCACGGTAGGACCTGGACGCAAGCATCACGGTGGAAGGCAAGCATGCACCATTCAGTGATCACGTGCGATTCATGTTTGAAAGGGGAATCGGCGAGGAGGATGAGAAAGATGCGAGGGACACCGGAGGATGGTCTGGCAAAGCGACGCGGTTGACGTCCTGCCCACCACGTGGATGTTACCGTGTGTTCGCGTATCTCTGGTGTAGCGGCAAGATGTGATGTAAACAGTCCGGCATGGATGGTCGGGCATCCATGCCGCTCCTCGATACATTCTGCTTTTCATTAAATAGTTGAATACCCTAGTTACACTATAGCGCTCTTAACTTTCGTTAAGACAACGACAGTCGATGGCTCAATGGCGATCGGCCGGAGTTACACGGCGACGATACCTGTCTTTTTATCGCGCCCCTCATCATTGCGCGCTTACGGCGCCATTTCCAGCCACCATACATTTGCTTCGTCATATGTCATCGTCGTGGTACTCGATAGGGCATTGCACTTCATTCGACGCGACAAAAAACACGGGGGAACGATCTGAGCGGGAGAAGGTCCGCGCTGCCCAACCGCCAAGCCAAACCTGCTCGCCGAAAGCCCCCGGAACGCTCGGACCCTCCAGCCCATGCTACCGCAGCGCTGCCGCGCACATCCGGAACTATTCCACGCTCAACGCTTCACAGCAATTCAGGACGCGCGTCGGGGGCACCATTAAAGAAGGGGAAGGAGGAGAGGGGTAGCAACAAGTACAAGTAAGTTTAGTACCTCCAAAAGTAATACTCTTGTGATTGCAGTTCCTAATCAATAGAATCAAGCTATGACAAAATTACTCCAAAGAGATTACAAGTAACTTGACTCTTGTAATGAGTATCGTACAAGTCTGGTCAGTCGTCTGCTTTTTCAGCTTAAAGGGCTGCCAACCCGAGGGAAATTGCCAAGATTAAGGTAGTATTCGGGTCTATGTGGCAATAAGGAAAATCTTGGGAAAATTTTGGGCACCGTGTATATCTGGAACTTTATAAGTCAATTATGATTTCATTTCGAGATAACGTCCAACTTTAGCGGCTTTGGCTCCATTTAGGCGTTTGACGGTTTGTTGTGCGACCATCTGGAAACGCTGAGAAGCACTCGAACAACTTTTTTCGGCCAAATAAGTTTTCATCCGTTTTCATCAGCCCCGGGAAAGCTATGGAGGAAGGGATCAGCCAAGTGGAGGTTTTGAGAGCTCAGTTGTGCCTTTTGCGAAAAAGGAAGCCTGAAAGCATGAAGAAGTACTGCGATGTCTGAAAAGACATCGATGTCTGGAAAGATGTCTGGCTTTCAACAGGGACGTTCCCGTGAACTTCAACTTTTCGAGTTAATTACGGACCTTCATAAAAGTATTCACTCCTCCCCCGGAACTGACGCAATGTTTATTGACTTTTCTATAGCCTTTGATCGTGTTCCGCTTACAATGTTAATGAAAAAACTAACAGATGCTAATATAGAGACGGGTGTCATTAAATGGATCTCAGACTTTCTTTCAAATAAACGTCAGTGTGTCGTTATCGATAATATAACCTCTCCCCCGAAAGCCCTAAAATCTGGTGTACCGCAAGGATCAGTACTTGGGCCACACCTTTTCTTACGATACATTAATGATATTTACGTAAACATTCAGTCCACGATCCGACTTTTTGCAGACGACTGCGTCATCTACCGGACTATATCTTCCCCCTCAGATAGCTCTTTACTTCAGGCAGATGTAGACGAAATTTCACTATGGTGTGTTGATTGGCAAATGCAGATAAATACGGATAAAACGAAACATATGACGTTCACTACAAAAACCAACACTCCCGAGCATACTTATCAAATTAATGGTGTAGATAGAGAAAAGGTGCAATCATTTAAGTACTTAGGTGTTCACCTCACAGTCGAGTTATCTTGGAAATTACATATTGAGACAATATTACGAAAGGTTTATCAAACCCTGGGATTCCTGAGAAGAAACTTGTTCTTATCTGACACAAAAACAAAACTAATGGCATATACATCCCTTGTAAGAAGCAAAATAGAATATGCGTCAGTTATTTGGAATCCCCACCAAGCCCATCTACTTAATTAATTAGAGTCTCTCCAAAATAAAGCAGCCCGGTTTATAACGCGCAATTATTTAACCACCTGTAGTATAACAAGTATAAAGAGTCCTTAAATTTAGCATCTCTCGAGAACAGAAGGCGAATCGCCCGTTTTTCTTTATTTCATAAAATATATCACTCTTCTACACCTTTCCGTCAAACACACATTGTCCCCCCCCCCCCCCCCCCGAAATCCTCCATCTTGCTGGGACCCTCCTCTGCCCCTCCCCCTCATACAGCATTTTTTTGTCTTATTTTGACAAAATGCGCCGCAAGAAAGAGACAGAGTAAGTAAGACAAGCGCTTCGTGTTGTCTCCTTACTCTGTCCCTGTCTTGCGGCGCATTTTGTCAAAATAAGTCATGTACCAACTGGCCTATCTGTCACTATTGAAGCATTTTGTCGTAGGCGCCCCCCCCCCCTCCCCCCCCCCCCCCCCCCCCCCCCCCCCGAAACAAAATCCTGGCTACGTGTTTGCTGAGACGGCTGTAGCGCAATTCAGATCGTGTCTGTTTAACAGTCTCAACTATTACATAATGTCAGAATCATGCTGCAAATCACGAGAAAATTAGGCATTACGACCACGTTAGCCTAGAGGCTGGTTTATCGTGAACAAAACATCTCCGTGTTCCCAGTGACTCGCATTCAACCTGAAACCCGCGAGAGTTATCTCTTGGCAATCGTTGTGTCTACACACAAGCATCGGTCGATATACATATTTGGAAGTGGTATTTTTATGCTGACGCATTGAGTCATTTAACACGCAAAAGGAAACTGATAGATCATTCTGGTAAGCAACAAAGGACGTAAAAACTAAACTCGATTGTGGATGTGCCAGTCACACCGGTCGTGAAATGACGAACCTAAGAACGTGACGCCATCGATGTGAATGTAATTTAGACTCACGTGACTTCCGTTTACGCGATTCCCCTTGAGGGAGGCCCTGACTGCAGTGGCACTATTCTCCGACGTGCGAGGTGCGAAGGTCTCCCGTCGCCATGCCCGTGGAACTGTACAACTACGAGTATAGCGTGCCGTGCCGCGTGGTCAGGATGGTCGCCCAGCACATCGGACTTCCGCTCGCCCTGAAGAAAGTCGACATTTTCGGCTGCGTGCACCAGAAGCACGACTTGATGAAGGTAAGATGTCGCCTCTTCCGCCACAGATTAATGCGCATTTGTGCGAAGCATGCATGTTCTTGTTTTAGCTTGTGCGCTGAATTTGAGTCTCGAGATGAAGAGAACATTGAACAATGTCGATTGGGAATCTATGGAATGCGTTGAACACTATCCGGAAATCCACGGCTATTCATGAGCGAAGACTAGGTATCCGAAAATCCGAGAGGGCACAAGAACAAAGTATAGGAACGTAACAAGATAATACAGGCATTGAAAGGCCTTGTCATATGTTGTCGGTTCCTTTTCCTATACTTGGTTATCGAGAACTCTTGGATTTGTAGAAGACTGTCCAGCCGCAGTCATACAGGACACGCTCTTCGCGACACACAGTAACCAACTATCAGCGGTCATGCCTGAAGCATGTCCTTTGCTTCAACATTTTATGCTTCCAACATGTACAGGTTTCGCACGACCAATGCCCTAAAAGGAAGAAACACGCTTCAGAGTGTCTACGGACTGTCTTTTGTATGATACAGTAGCAGTGGGACATGGATTTTAAGCTAGTCTATCGCTGGCGCTAAGCCTATTTTTTGCAAACGCCTAAAACTCTGTCGGGCCAGACGGTTTCCTGTGCTGAAACCAATCTTTACACGTTTCAGTTCCATTAAAGGGGTACGGAAACGAACATTTTCCCTTATTTCTTTGTTTAGATATGATGTTGTAGCCGGCAGCCCAGAAACACTAGTCTAGACTATTGTTTCTGCGCTACCGGCAGAAAAGTCAAGAAAACTAATATTAAAACGAATCAACAGATACAATATTGAGCTTGTTGGCGGTCCGTGAAGATCCGTTGGAATGCCGTCACGTCATCGGCCTCTAAGAAGCAGCGCCAGTTCGCGGCAGTATAGCTCTCTCGTGGAGTTGCTCAGTCCTGAATGTGACTTGGCGGAGAACGCTAATGAGTTTACTACGTTGTATATGTTAACTTCCCCAGTGCTTCCGCAACGTGGATTCCCCACAATAAAGATCGGCGTTCTTTGCAGAAATTAGGTAGGAGCTTGATTTGAGGATGCGAGGACCTCTGCAGTGATTTCCCTACACCCCCCCCCCCCCTTGTTTTCTTGAAGGCACCCCCTTGATTTGCAACGACTCCTCTATTCTCAATGCTCCCCCCCCCCCCTAGAAATTTAGACGCTCCTGGGAAAACCCCTGGACCTCTGCCATGCCAACCATACCACTCCCAGCACCCCTCCCCCCCCCCCCCCTCCTCCCCCGGGGATACCCTGTGAACAACCTGTCAAATATGGCACCCAGTTAACAGCTTGTATACGTAGCTTGCAGGTGCCTCTGTTGCTGGGTACTGAGGGTTATTTCTACTTACTGGTTCCCTCGAGCTACTACTGCTGCGGTGTGAAACTAACGCGGTAAACCGAACGCTCGTGGCACATCAAATACCGGCATGGCCGCGAAAGACGTTACGGGCAAGCAAAGTATAGCCGTAGCCTCCTCCATACTCACAAAGCCTGGCAGTTCGATGACGGAGCCGTAGAGTGCCTGGTCGCAGATTTGATTTCATTTCATTTCATTTATTGTTCCCTTAAAGCGCCCGTAGGGCTTTACATAAGGGGGGGCTTTGGCAGCAAACAAAAACAAACAAAGAAAGGAAAAAACAGGATTAAAGGTTGCTAAATATCGAGAAAAGTAGCAAGTGCAGCTCTGAATCCAGATGAGTCTTGAATTGTAACAATATGTTCTGGCAGAGAGTTCCATTCTGAAAGTGATAATTGCAGTGGAGAGAATTTAAAAAGGTTGGTCCTTGGTGTTACCAGATGAACTTTCTGAGAATGGTCTGTACGAGGAGAAATGTGATGAGCCGCTGGACAGTACAATTCTCTCTTTAAAGGGGCCAGATAATACAAAGCGTGCAATGAAACTAGTCTGGTCAGTTTCCTTCTTTCCGCGAGCAGTGGAAGGCCGAGTTCTTTTTTTAGCGTAGTAATGCTAGTGTGTGTATAGTTTTTAAGAATGAACCGAGTTGCCCTGCTTTGGATCGACTCTAATTTCTGAATTAGGTAAGCCTGGTGGGGGTTCCATGTTGTAGATGCATACTCGAGCTGCGGGCGAACAAGGGCAGTGTAAGCTACGAGTTTTGTCTCCCGGTTAGCCATATGTAGTGTTCGTCTCAAAAAACCGAGGCTTTGGTTTGCCTTTACAACGATCTGATTAATATGAGCTTCCCATGATAAGTTTGACGTGAAATGAACCCCGAGATATTTGTACGTGTGGACATGTTCAATGGGTGTATTAAAAAGAGAGTAACTAAACACTGTGGCACTTCGCTTAGTGTTGAAGTTTAAGAATTTTGTTTTTAGGATGTTGATTTGCATTTGCCATTTTTTACACCATGTTTCTAGGGTAATCAGGTCATTTTGAAGTTGAATGCAATCACTAATGCAAGATATTTTCCTATACACCACACAATCATCAGCGTACAAACGGATGGTTGAAAGAATACTATCGGGTAAATCATTCACGTACAAAAGAAAGAGCAATGGACCCAGCACGGTCCCCTGCGGCACTCCCGATTTTACTTTCTGATGGGATGAAGATTTGTAATCATAACAAACACTTTGCGAGCGATTAAAAAGAAAATTCGATATCCAGTCTATCACGAATGGCTCCACTTGGAAAGCACGTAATTTTAGAACTAGTCGATGATGCGGCACCTTATCGAATGCTTTTTGGAAGTCAATAAAAATTGCATGCGTCTCAGTTTTAAAATGCAGGTTACTGTGTATATCAGTTACAAATTCAAAAAGTTGGGATTCGCAAGAGTGAGACCGACGGAAGCCGTGCTGGTTTACAAAAAGTAGGCTGTTGGCTGACAGGTGATCCATGATATTTGAAAATAAAACATGTTCCATTAATTTACTCGGAACACTCGTCAGAGAGATGGGTCGATAGTTCGTGAATTCATTCTTTTGACCATTTTTAAAGACCGGGGTGACTTTTGCCCTTTTCCAGTCAGCAGGTATTTGGCCACTAGTTAGGGATTGCTCAAAGATAGAACAGAGGATTGCGGAAGATTCACATTTGCTAAGCTTAAGTAGCTTCGTCGTGATATTGTCAGGACCGGGGGCAGAATTTGTTGGGAGATGTTCTATTAGTTTCTGAATTCCGCTCACAGACATACTGATTGGGCACATTTGTGTGGCTATGTCGTAATTAGGCGAATGCTCTGGTAAGGGGAAAATATCTTCAGAAAACATCTCGCTAAAAAAACGACTGAATTCCTCGCACACTGCACCCACATCGAGCTCGTCTCCCGCAGGATTAGTGAATCGGTGAGGCTTCGACACTTGCTTAGGGTTAACCGCTTTCCAGAACTTTTTGGGGTTAGCTGTCATAAGGTTGCGGAGGTCTTCGTTGTAAAACTTGTTCTGCGCTCGACGTATCTCTGTCTTGCATACTAATTGGAATTCGTCATACTTTGTCCACGCAGAAGGGGACAAAGACAATTTAGCTGTTTGAAATAGTCTCCGCTTTTTATTCAGTAGTCGTTTAAGGCGGTTCGAAAACCAGGGTTTCTCAATAGAAGACTGTATATTTATTTTTGGAATAAACTGATCACATAGATCAAGTAGCTTTTGTTTGAATAATCTCCAGTTTTCGTGAACTGTCCTAGAGTCAAAGCCAACCATGTAAATACTTGAAAAAGATTGCAAGCTACGACAGAAGTCATCGACGTTAGCCCTGGAGTAATCATAAATAGCTTTTACCAGCGGACTGTGCTTTTGCGTAGGAAGAGCAAGTTCAACATTTAGGGAAGTGTGATCACTGAGCGGTTCCATAAAGTTTACCGAAGCTATAAAATCTGCCTCCGAAATGAAAAAAAGATCCAAGAAAGCAGAGTTACGAGTTGGCTTGTCAACCATTTGAAAAAGAAAGAAGGCGTTTATCACATCAACAAAATCCCGACTTTGCTTTGAAAGTTTATACCATGCATCAAAAGATATGACATTTGGAACAACCGGCCATTTTATTTCGGGGTAGTTAAAGTCACCGGAGAGAACTATGAGATCATTTGGATAAGAACGAGCAAGGGTCTCTAAGCAATCATAAAGTAAAGGCGAGAAGTCTGACAAGTCAGGTGGCTTATAACATGCGATTACTAAAATACAAACAGTAGGCGTCCTAATCCTTACCCAAACACCTTCAAAACTTGATATTATATCACACTTTTCAACATGCAAAGTACTTCTAACAGCAATCAACACTCCCCCTCCCCGCCGCTCAATCCTATCTTTCCGGATGATAAAATACGAGTCACTTAGGATTAATTCGCTATCTGCAATATCCGGAGTTAGCCAAGTTTCACTGATGATAACAACGTCTGCAGAGCAGGAGTGGACAGCAGAATGCAGCACTTCTTGTTTGGCATAAACGCTTCTAACATTGGCAATAAAAAAGTTTAGGGTTGATAATGGTCTTTTCTGTTGTTGGGAGGATGACTTTCTGGTTTCCTGTAGCTATGAGGGAAGCTGCATAACACGTGCGGTTTCCCGGTCAAAAATATATCGCAAATTTCCGATAATTAGTTTATCGTGGCGAAGCTTGAAGTCACGAGCTTGTGCTTTTGCAAAAGAAAGAAGCTCTTTTCGTGCTTTACGGGTCTCTTCCGAGTAATCCTCGCTCAAACGGAAATCTGTACCTTTTAGTCTGTTTGCTTGTGATAGCACGAGTTCTTTATCTTTAAAAGAATTAAATTTTACGATGATGGGTCTGGCTGTCGTGGAGTTATCTTTGAAAAACCCAATTCTGTGCGCCCGCTCGATCCAAGGGGGGAGTATCTTGACACCAAGATTTTCCTCGCAAAAGGAAACTATTTTTTCTTCAGACTGCTTCCAGGTCTCACCACGCGCATCAGGTAGGTTAAAGAAAAGCAAGTTGTTTCGTCGCGAGTGATCCTCAAGAGTGGTAAACCTTCGTGTCATTTCCGCTATCGCGGATGTGTTTGTTGC